ATCATAACGTTTAAGATGAACTGTTCATTTTGTTTAGTGTGTCAGATGAATTTATTTGTGCAATAAGTATTTTATATCATCTCCAGTTAAGTTGCCATGTCATTAAACCACACTTTGCTTGTTTAGATTTAACCAATCGGCTTGGTTTAAGGTTGAAATTTATAACAAAACATTTGTGCATTAGCTCATTATTTTATTTGTCACAATAATTTTCACAATAAAAAATGTATCAAGAGAAGGCTTTTTCCTGACGCATCGAAGAGTGATCGCCCAACTTTTAAAAGTAATAATATCAAATATATTGTATACATGTATATGCTCTTGCCACTTAAAAAAACCAGAAATAAAGTAAGTAAATACATCTACTCATGTACTTGGCTCAGTATATGCATTTATTTAAAAGATAAGAAGACCAAGGAAACAACTTCATGCCAGATCAAATAAGAAATATTAAAGCTACACAATATATTTTCATATAAACCCAGGCTTATTGGTTAGCAAAAATTTGTAAACCTATGAAGATAAAAGGTATGGCCTATTTAGGCACATTAAAGTGAATTATGGAGGGGTGAATTTTAATGGGGATTTGGTCTAGGGCTGGGACAGGTAACTCTGGTACCCGGGTCCGGTGGGTACTGAGTTGGGCCTAGGTACCAACAGGACTACCCAGACCTGTGGTTAGTCACTTGATATATTGTTTAATGACAAAAACTATCTAGAACTCTATGGTTACACTACGAGTCACTAATGTTCAAATTTCTTTCTGACTATGCACCCATTCCTTCTGACTTTTAATATGGTTGAATAAAGATAAAACTTAAGTCAACTTCAGTGTATTTAAGACCAGATTGTTTAATACATGTATGTATCTAAATATGTTTTGCCAAGGCTATGGTCAAACAATTCCCAATCGGAAATTTTGTACCTTTCTCTTGAGACCAACAGTGGGTACCCGTGTAGGGTTGGGTAATAGGGGGGTGGGTACCCGGGTAGTAAATTTGGACTTGTCCCAGCCGTACTTTAGTTATATTTTAGAGTCAGCTTAGACATCAAAATTACAACAATATTTCAGATTTAAGGTTGATAAAACATTGAAAGTTAGTTGAATGACATGACAAGGAAGACAGGTGGATGGAATGAAATTTGGGGTGCATGTGAAGGTGAATTAATGTAATTTCATACATGTGAGATCCTGATTTAAACAAAAATAATTGTCAGTGATTGAAGATCACAATGATGTTGAAATTAGAACATAGTTAAATGTTTAATATTTTATGTTGATACATCGTTGGTTGATCAACATGACAAGCAATAAGCTACCATCGGTCAATACTGATCCAACTGAAAATAAATGTAAACTATTTATACTTGTATATTTCATCTTCTACAGTTGATCAGTTAACTTTAAATCGTAATGTATGATAATTGTCATTTCATTAAGATAAAAGGCTCAAGATGAGATTTTCAAGTTTTAGTATTATTAATTATTTTTTTAATTATGTTGGAAAATAAATCCCCCATAATTAAATTTGTTACCCTGCAATGGTAATATGAGCATTAAAGAAAAAAAAATCTTAAGCAAAAAATCAATTAAGAATAGGTCAGTGTCTGCACATCATAAATGTGTTGCCAGGCATATACAGTCAGGGGGGCACGGGTGGCCCAGTCGTCTAAGGCGCCGTGATTCTCAGTGCAGAGTTGCATGCCTTGGGCATGCCAGAAACCTATGAATGTGGGTTCGAACCCCAGTTCGCCCCGATTATGTTTCTAGGTTTGTCAGCACCATACCTGTGCTCGTGGGTTTCACCAAAGTGGTAAACGTCTGGGACCTGCATCACTTCGGGATTTCCTCCCCCATTAAGTTGACACGCCGTGATATAAATGGAACACTGTTGAAAGCGGTGTTAAACCCAGCTCACTCACTCACACACTTACTCATATACAGTCAGGAGCCAGTCCAAAAAGAAGTGCTTTGCTGTACAGAGGTCATGGGAGGGGAGTGCTGGTCATGTTCTGGCTGTGTCACAACCGGTCAAGTTCAGCCCACCACATGGTTTATAGTGTTCCAGCTGGCATGCCTGATTACACTGTGTTTACATGTGTCATTATCTTCTTGTAGGGTAAACCAACAAAGGTCGGACATTGGAGTGGACAATGCTACCGGTCAGGGGTGACTGTCACAATGAGCCCGACAGTACTGGCACCTCTTTAGGTGTTCACTAAATGGTGACTTAAAGCGAGAAGTAAACTGTCAGGAGTCCACCATCTTGCCGTGTCTATGTGGCTACAATCAGTGTAGTGAGTTTCAACTCGCCATGTTCTCAAGCTTAGGGACAGAACATTTGATATTCTTGAAAGACTTGTCAAAGACCCGGGTTCAATTCCCACCATGGGTACAATGTGTGAAGCCCATTTCTGGTGTCCCCCGCCGTGATATTAGTGGAATATTGCTAAAAGCGGAGTGAAACTCACTCTTAAAAAATTGGAAACACTTGTTGTCAAGTTTTACCCCTCTAAAAAATGTTGTTCATGTTACATGCGTTGTTAAAAACAATAAAAAAATTGGCTCCCAGAAAAATGGTGTGCTTCGAAGCAGTGACTGAACAAAAATGTCCTGTTCTGTGAAAAATATCCCAGCCCCCATCAGCCCCACCCCCTTAACTCCACCACCCACCCAAATCAACCACCTGGACACCCCCAAAGAATATTATGATGGATCCCTTAGGGATGTCACTCCTGTCAGTTGAGTGTTTTTTGCTTTTGTCATACTATTTCTGTCAACATATGATCTCATCAGGACTGCAGAGATTTTATTCTTAAGTGTCACTCTGTGTACTTCTCTATTCAAGAGTTTTCCTCTATTTCCTGCCCTTGTTTCTTCAAATGTAGGGTGTGGTTTGGGGGAGGTGCTGCTAAGGGTAGGTTGGGTCTGTTTCACCAACAGCTCCTTGAACTGGCGAAAATGTTAACAGATATTTTGATTGTGGACCTCCTCACAAGATATTTTATCATTGTGTCCATAGTTGTGTAGAAGTAAATGTTTTCTTCAGTTAATTTTGTTTGTGTTAAGGGGGCACGGGTGGCCCAGTTGTCTAAGGCGCCGTGATTTGCTGTGCAGAGTTGCGTGCCTTGGGCATGCCAGAAACCTATAATTGTGGGTTCGAATCACGGTTCGCCCCGATTATGTTTCTAGGTTTGTCAGCACCATACCCGTGCTCGTGGGTTTCACCGAAGTGGTAAACGTCTGGGACCTGCATCACTTCGGGTTTTCCTCCCACATTAAGCTGACACGCCGTGATATAACTGGAATACTGTTAAAAGCGGTGCTAAACCCAACTCACTCACTCACTCACTTGTTTGTTTAATTATTTACATATGTCTTGCTCAGCTAAAATATTTTATTCTTTACTTGGATGAGATATGGAGAATCTCACCTAAGTGTCTTTCGATATGAAATATATCAACATCGATAAAAGTTTAAAACTCCGAGGCATGCCGAGGAGTTTTAAACTTTTATTGACAAGTGTTGGTATTTTTTATTTCAAAAGACACAAGGGGGAGATTCTGTTTATAATCCAACATCATTCTTCCAGCTTTTTCAGTTTGTAGACAGTGTCTTAAGTGTAAAAAGTACTGCTAACAGCTAAACAACCGATAAACAACCCCTTGATGATGTCAGACTGCTACACAGTTGTTTTAGTGTTAAGATTGATCTTCAGTAGCCTATACTAAAATTGATAGGGTCGTCAGGCTCAGTGACTTGGCTGATTGTGTGTCACTGTGTCTTGATGACCTAGGGCGGTCGGGTAGCCTGGTGGTTAAAGCGTTTGCTCGTCACGCTGAAGACCCGGGTTCGATTCCCGACATGGGTACAATGTGTGAAGCCCATTTCTGGTGTCCCCCGCCGTGATATTGCTGGAATATTGCTAAAAGCGGCGTAAAATCAAACTCACTCACTCACTCACTCACTTGATGACCTAGATTGGTTCTCACGCTCTCAGTCACTGGTTCTACTGGTTCAGATTAGATTATTGCTGACCGCTGTGATATAACTGGATTATTGCTGACTGCTGTGATATAACTGGATTATTGCTGACTGCTGTGATATAACTGGAATATCGCTGACTGCTGTGAAATAACTGGATTATTGCTGACTGCTGTGATATAACTGCATTATTGCTGACTGCTGTGATAGAACTACATTATTGCTGACTGATGTGATATAACTGCATATTTGCTGACTGCTGTGATATGACTGCATTTTTGCTGACTGCTGTGATATGACTGCATTTTTGCTGACTGCTGTGATGTGACTGCATTATTGCTGACTGCTGTGATGTGACTTTAGGCTATACCTTAGAAACTACCACTTCATACAAATATTTGGGAGTATATGCTATGAATCATCTATCTTGGACATTACAAGATGAAACAGTTCCAGCACAAAAAAGTATTGATAGGAATACTAAGGTCTATCAATATACTTGGAGATATAAACAATACTTCTCTCTTTAGAATATTTGATGTTGATAAATCCAATACTTCTATATGGTGCAGCAGTTTGGGGATTGAGTGATAACTACTTTATGCCCCATCAGCCATCTTGCGCAGCAGTCCATTTTGAAGACATTCCAATGTGATGTCATGTGTCATGGAAAAAACGACAAATGTCCATAATAATGAAATATACTATCAGAAAGAATGTATTTTATTCAGACAAGTCCTCTCTGTTCACACATTAAATCAAATCGGCCATGTAAATCTCACATTCCAGTTATAAAATGCTAATGCGCAACACGCTAAATTGTGTATGTATTCAGATGAGAAACATATATACCTTTCAAAACTTCCTATTGTTAATAGGCACTCCAGCTCTCTTCTACACAGTGTACAGTTTCCCATGGTATAGACAGCAGATGTCTGAAACTCACCCAGGCCTGACGATCGTCTCTCGCTGAGTCGCACGGAGGCTACTGTACACCTTTACCTGGATCCACAGAGAGCTCACTCACCTCGTTTAGACAGGTAAGCTGCAGTGAAGACGACCAGGTTCATTCGCCCTTCTGTGGTAGTGTTGTGGATCTGTTGAAGTAGCTAGGAGTTTGTCTTCAAACATTGGCAACTGTCTCTACTGGGATGAGATGTGCTAGGCCAGCCAGTTCCGTGCCAGGCTGTCAGTGGTGTTGAGGTGTGTGTGTCCGGGCAAGGTGTGGCCTTGTTTGTGTCGGAGTGTGTACGCAGGACCAGGTTGTCTGTGTTGTGTTGCACACTGTAGAGCTGAAGGGAGTTGATAGGACGCATTTACACCCACAGGGGACACTGACAGAGGATTACTGCTGTGGATAATTACATTACAGATTGGACATCTTTACAGGTGAGTGATTGGAATGTTAGAGGAGTTGTGGTAGTAGCTTCCTTGAGTGGCACATGTTTGTTGTTACTTCTGTTACCCTCCATACACACACGCCTGGTCACGGGGCCTCGTGTCATTATAAAGGTGTGGACTTAACAAGAAAAATAACCCTTTTTTGCATTTTCTTTTCTTTACTGAGTAGGATCCGGGTAACCACAGGACTACCCGGACCCATGGTTAGTCACGTGATATATTGTTTAATGACTAAAATTATCTAGAACTCTATGGTTACACTACAAGTCACAAATGTTTGCTTTTCTTTCTGACTATGCACCCATTTCTTCTGACTTGTCATATGGTTGAATAATGATATAACTTAAGTCGACTTCAGTGTATGCATGACCAGATTGTTTAATACATGTATCTAAATACGTTTTGCCAGGGCTATGCTATAAAAGTTCCCAATCAGACATTTTGAGACATCTCCTGAGACCTACAGTGGGTTCCGGGTAGGGTAGGGTAGGGTAGGGTAATAGGGTGGTGGGTACCTGGGTATTAAAATTGGACTCATCCCAGCCCTAGTATTTTATCACGGTCCTTTTTGGTGACCATTTCCTCATAAGCTCTATACCCAATACCCCACACCCGTACACCTCCACAGACACACATGTACCTTGTCATGGGACCACGATATCATGGCTGTTGCCATCCTGACAGTAAACTTGATCTATGTGCATGGTTCTTTTTCTATTGTAATAGTTTGTTTAGATTTGGAACAAGTGTATTGTAGATGTTGTCAGGAATAGTTTCTCCTTGTATGAGCCAGTGATATGCCAATCAGGGGTTTCTGGAGCTTATGGTAATGAATATTACAATTTTGAGAAGAAATGAAGTTTGTACCACCGTTGTCAAAAGGGATTTGATGAGTACCGGTATATAAGTTTTAGTCAGGGGTCTTCCTGGCAGGTCTGGAGCAAGTGTTAGACAGCAGGGTAGTGGGGCGGTGTTGTTGTTGTTGTTGCTGTTGTTGCTGTTGTTGTTGCTGTTGTTGAGTTTGTTCCTGCTTTAAGTTTTTAAGAGGTCGCCTTCTGCCTCAACATTTTCGGCTGACCTGTCCCTATGTGGGATGTGTGTGAGTAGGGTACACAGATCTATTTTAGTTTTTGTGTTGATAAGATTTCTATTTTTCGTATATTGATATGATTTCATTTCTGATCTTTGGCTGCTCTGTTTATATACGTTAGAGTAGCTGTCCATCTCTCAGAAATAGTTAGTTCTGCCTTTGCTATTAAGTCTCTTGGTTTTAGGAGATAGCGGATCTAACTGCAATTCTTGTTTTAACAAAGCCTGGGTCTTGACGTTCCAGTAACAAGTAAGCAATGGGTTCGGGCTGATTGCAAGATGGGCATACCTTATCATGGTGCTGTTTGTGACCGAGTCTGAGGCGCGAGATGGCTACTTCAACTTTCCTTCCATTTGCACATGAGTATCACTGTTGGTGGATCTTGGGTTGAATTTTGTATAGCCATCTGCCGACCTTACTTGTGTCCCATTGGGCTGTAGCGTATTTCGCACACGGGCCCATGGTGACTTTGCTTTTGCTTTTTATCTCTCATTGACTGAAGGGAATAGGCTGTATCTCTGCTTTGTGGTGTTGGAGGTGTCAGACAGGCTTCTAGTAGATAGGTGTTGTGGGTGTCAGACAGGACAGGCTTGTAGGCAGGTGTCAGACAGTCTTCTAGAAGATAGGTGTTGTGGGTGTCAGGACAGGCTTGTAGGCAGGTGTCAGACAGTCTTCTAGAAGATAGGTGTTGTGGGTGTGACGACAGGCTTGTAGGCAGGTGTCAGACAACTTGGGTACTTGGTAGATAGGTGTTACTCTGTGATATGGCAATTCATTCTTTTCACCAGATTATAGTAATCAGACTTTGTGTCTCTGAAGGAAAAGCTATCCTGAATGATTACATCACAGTTTCTATGAAGAAGCTGTGCACAGGGTGGGAAGTTCAACCTTTGTGTAAATATAACAAAATACAGATTCTCCTTTGAAAAGGAATGTGCGAGAACCTGAGGTACGTTGTTTGTGTGACTGTCCCCGTCTTCTGTTGTCAGCAGGGAGATATGACTGTGTTATCAATGGTCACATTGTCTTGTTACTTGAAAGGAAATAATATAATTCTTATATATCTTCATAACACATCATCATATCTTGTCTTTACTAGTCATCTCATAAGTGGAATTTTTTTTCTGATAATCAGATATTTTCCCCTTACAATTGCAGTATATATAAAACGTCAATGCAAGAGGATACAGTCTCTATTATCTGCTGAAACAGATTTCTTTAGGCATAATGGCCACGTTATATAAATGGATTGCTGATACTCAGTGATGACACCAGGTGTTCAAGAGAAGGGAAAGGATGTCCTGCCCTTATGGTAGTGCCTGCTTCTCACACAATTTGCATAAGATTGTTAGTGTTTGCTGCCGGACGCTGCACAGCAGTTCTCCTGCCATAGGATGGCTGCATGTCACTTGTAAACAGTTGAGTCAGACAGTCAAAATGATGGACCAGACAATCCAGTGACACAAGAGCACATTCACTGATATTGTTGAAAGTCACACTGATAATTTTGAATGATGTCGGCTGCATACAAGTTATGCGTAACAATCCACCTCTTGTGTTTACAAACCTGAGGATTTACTTTGTTTGGTACAGATTTGATCGACTGAAGCTAAATTCCACAATAAGAAAAAAAAGTAAAAAAAGTTGATATTTAGTTTTATTATGAATGAATACCCTGTCAATGATCAATTAGATATATCAAGATGTATATACAAATTCACTGTTTAATCAATTATTTAAGTAAATATGATAGTAATTAATAAATGTATTATATATGGTCATGTAAACTGCAAACACCTTAAACAAGATTATGTCATTAAAGCCGTAAATTAAGGGACATTTAAAAGGCTCATAGTACAAATAAACACGATCAACCAACCCTATGTTGATTTAAATTCAGGTTCTATCAGATCAGGGAGTCTATATAGTATTTGAATAGTCTCCCTGGTCAGATAGTGCACTCCCGACAACGACTTGGCTGCCGCAACTTGAAGGCTCATGAATATGAACGACATATTTCAGGAAACCCTACTTGTTCTTGTGGACATCCATGGGAAGATCAACTGCACTACTTTTTCATATGTCCATGTGTTTCATTGTTTTATTATATCTAAGGGTTTGATATAAACTAAGTTCTTAGTGGTAGTGCAACAAAACTTGCACTTTTAGTGTTGATTCCACCATCCTGAAGTATGTCCACTTATTTACTTTGGTATCCAATAGATTTGCACCATTATGACTTAAGTAATGCAAAGGATATTCTGAAATTATGTGTATTGCTTGACTGAAAGTCTTGAATATTACTAGGTTGTACTTATAGAGTTTTTCCATTATGTTTCTATATAGTGAACTAGACCCAGTTTCAAATACTTGTAATGGAGAGTAATTAATTTAAAATATGTTTAAACCAAGAGCAAAAACTTCTCTGATAAATGTAAATACTGGGTACTGGGGATCTGTTCCGGCTTGGGATACCAAGGGAAAACTAGTGCCAGGTACTGGGGACCTCTGTCTTCCTGGGATACGAAGGGAAGACAAGTGTTAGGTACTGGAGATCTATGCCTTCCTGGTATCCCAAGGGAAAACTTTTTTCAGGTACTGGGGACCTCTGTCTTCATGGGATACGAAGGGAAGACAAGTGTTAGGTACTGGGGATCCATGCCTTCCTGGTATCCCAAGGGAAAACTAGTGCCAGGTACTGGGGACCTCTGTCTTCCTGGGATACGAAGGGAAGACAAGTGTTTGGTACTGGGGATCTATGCCTTCCTGGTATCCCAAGGGAAAACTTTTTTCAGGTACTGGGGACCTCTGTCTTCCTGGGATACCAAGGGAAGACAAGTGTTATGGTACTGGGGACCTATGCGTTTCTGGTATCCCCAAGGGAAGACAAGTGTTCGGTATTAGGGACCTATGTCTTCCTGGTGTCCCCAAGGGAAGACAAGTGTTCGGTATTAGGGACCTCTGTCTTCCTGGTGTCCCCAAGGGAAGACAAGTGTTCGGTATTAGGGACCTCTGTCTTCCTGGTGTCCCCAAGGGAAGACAAGTGTTCGGTATTAGGGACCTCTGTCTTCCTGGTGTCCCCAAGGGAAGACAAGTGTTCGGTATTAGGGACCTCTGTCTTCCTGGTGTCCTCAAGGGAAGACAAGTGTTCGGTATTGGGGACCTCTGTCTTCCTGGTGTCCCCAAGGGAAGACAAGTGTTCGGTATTGGGGACCTCTGTCTTCCTGGTGTCCCCAAGGGAAGACAAGTGTTCGGTATTAGGGACCTCTGTCTTCCTAGTGTCCCCAAGGGAAGACAAGTGTTCGGTATTAGGGACCTCTGTCTTCCTGGTGTCCCCAAGGGAAGACAAGTGTTCGGTATTAGGGACCTATGCCATCCTGGGATCCCCAAAGGAAGACAAGTGTTCGGTATTAGAGACCTATGCCATCCTGGGATCCCCAAAGGAAGACAAGTGTTCGGTATTAGAGACCTATGCCATCCTGGGATCCCAAAGGGAAGACAGGCACTGGTTATTAAAAACCCTTTGGGAGACAGGCATTAGGTACTGAAATCTGCACAGGGAGACAGACATTGGGTACTGATATCCCCTTGGGAAGCAGACATTGGGTAATTAAATCCCCATTGGAGGCAGACATATGGGGGCAAGGAGGGGTCACAGTCACTGAATCTCTGTAGGGAACAAGAGGATCTGAGTAACAAACCTGCTCATCTTTCAACATGGCAACAACAGAACCTGTAAGTAATCTCACTAAATTATGCCTATGACAACGAAACACAAACTCCGGCTCAGTGTTTTAATTCCCTGCCATCATAAAGATTTATGTTCCTTGCACCATGAGTCGTTTATTTCTTATATGAGATATCAACATTATGTACAGCCTCTTTAAGGACTCCCTTA